TTTCTCTCTCCCTTCTAGTTTATCCTACTGTGGCAGTAAAAATACTTTTTCTTAAGGGTGTTGTGGTTTTTTGTTCCAGTTCCCCAAAAATTATTTTCTATTTTCCTTTTCAATGTAAACTTTGACTCTGGATGTTTGTACATAAAAAATAAATATATTTTTAAATAACGTCATTTTGTATGAGAAACTATTATTTATAACAAGAAATAATTAGACTCGTCTTTTACATAATTTTTAACCTAATTTAGGAGTCATAAAAAATTACAATAAAAATTCGACTCGACTCTAAAATTAATATGAATGTTCAGAATACTATTTTAGATTTTTTTTTCATCCCTAATTTGACTCGAAGCTTTTCTTGGTTTTGGAGAAATTTGGACCAAAAACACCTTCTAGAATAAATTTGAAGTTTGTATCATAAGTTTTTTGAGTTTCTGTTTTAGTTAAGTTTTGAGGCAACACAATAGGGGGTAAGGGGGGCTAGTGTGTGTTTTTTTCTGTTTGTCTGTATTTGTCATTCTGTGTCTCTCTGTCTGTTTGTTTTTCTGTGTGTGTGTTGGTCTTTGTTTCTCAGTCTGTCTCTTTCCATCTGTGTGTGTGTGTCAGCAGGTCTTTCTGTCTGGTTGTCTGGACTTTTTATTCCAAACTTTTTTCTATTCATATACTTTGACGGACTTTGTGACGGCTGGTGGACAGTGTTTTGTATATCTTATCAACTTTAGTTTCCTGTTTCTCTATGTTCCTGTCTTCGTCTCTCTCTCTCTCTCTCTCTCTCTATTAACATAAACTATTAACATCACAGGATATATATATATATATATATATATATATATATATATATATATATATATATATATATATATATATATATATATATATATATATATATATATTTCGTTAGCCCAATAAAGCACGCGGACTTCTACATACAATCAACAGCTCAACCCGCCAGGATTCGAACCCACGGCCCACAAGCCTATGACTGTGACCGGGGAACGCTAACCGCTTCAGGTTATGAAAGACTTAATTAAGGCTTGATTGATTACAGTAATACAGTCGTATGAAGGTGTCAGGACTCGGGCACTTGTGATAAACTCTTAGGTAACTACACGCCAAATTTTACTGTCTACTGTTTACACACACACACACACACACACACACTCTCTCTCTCTCTCTCTCTCTCTCTCTCTCTCTCTCTCTCTCTCTTCACCCAATAACTCTCTCCTTCCTTCCCTTTCCTTCCTCCCTTCATCATTCACTCACTCTTTTGCTCCCTCCCTCCCTCATTTCTCTCTCTCCTTCCCTTCTTTCCCTCCCTCCTTTTTCTCCCTCCTTCCCACCTTTCTCTCCCTTCTCCTCTTCCTCCCTTATTTCTCTCCCTCCTTTCTTTCTTCAGGGCCAGAGGAGGATTTGGTGTGTATGTGTGTGTATGAAAGAGATAGAGAGAGACTATGAATGTTTGTATGTGTGCCATTTAAAGCAGGATGGTGCTGTTGTAAGTGATTTCACAGCCCAGAAAGACCATCACAGACAAGGAGAGAGAGGAGAAAAAATTTTAATATTGTTTTGCCGAGGCATAATTTGGGATTATAATACTTGTAAACTAGGTGTTTTGATGATTTTTTGTCCAAGTAGCAGTTATTTTGGCAAGTTTAGGGAGATTTTTCTTGTTTATATTGATGTATTACGTATGTAGGAATTTTCTAGAATGCATTGCAGCATTTTTTTTATGGTTTACTTCCTATTGTAAACCTCGATCAGAGTAGAATGTATCAGAACTTCTCAAGATCTGTCTGGGTTGTTCTAGGATTGTCTGACGAGACGTATATAAACACCCGCGAGCAGGCTAGGAGTCAGTCGACCGTTTCTGCTCAGAGTGTGAAGTACAAGCCTAGGAGGACAACTGAAGATATTTGTTGTGCAAGTATTGTGGAATTGTTGTAATCAATATAAAGTGAAAAGACTAAGGAATTGTTCACTGGTAGTGTGCTGACTATATATTCGAAGTGAGAAGTCTAGCTCTGAAGACATTACCTTATGAACAGTGTTGTGAAGAATCATTGCTTATTAAAAACTACAGTTCACAAGTGTGTTTCTGTGACCAGGTGGAAATCTGCCTGCCTGTTGCTTGTCTGTACACTGATACCGATCGTCGAGAAATTACGGAGACTGGCGGGACAGCCAGTGGTAATTCGACGACACTTGTGAGATTTCTACTGCTTCTGTACACACGACCCTGGCCGCTGGTAACCAGTGGTAGAAGCTGGGTAAGCGGTGAAAGGAGGGCCGTAACAATATGAACAAGAATGAGAGACAATACCTGGTCATGAGTTACCTGTCTCACCAATTTTTTTATAGTGAGAAGAAGATACCGAGCATTATGTACCTGTTTTGTGTGTGTGTGTCAGCTGCCACACTACAACACAAAGGCCATCAAAACTCCCATTTCTTCAGTTTCCAGTTCCCTAAACATAACCCACAATTCTTCACTAAAACAACTACACCATCTTAACAGCCCAGTACAATTATACAGAAATAACCACGTGTTATAATTTATAATTACATAACTTTAGCAAGTATTAGATACTTCTTAATCTCTCTAATATTTACATTATTTTATTTATTTCTGTATTTATATTCTTTTCAAAAACTTTAAAAATGCTGTTAAAGTTTTATCCACATCTGGTGACGCCTGAGACAAGTGCGCATCAGATCAGTCTTTTGCTATACAGTACTCTGTCTTCTTCTTTTTCATATTACAGTATTATTATTGTGGTGGAAAATATCGACTTTAAATTATCCTCTAACTACCGTAAGTGGGAGTGTTGTGTAACCACGTAAAGGAACAAATTTTCAGTCCCAAATTTTGGACAGTTCTTGCCTGGGCCGTGACGAGCTCTGAGATTAACTGTGGATTTTTGGTCTACTTAAAGCTTAATCTCCCATAGACTAAGAATTAAAATGCTCACAAGTCTTGTATATTGTGATCTTTTATGATGTATAATATTTATTTGTGTTTTAAAATTTACTAACAGGTTTATTAGTACTGATGCTGTGTGTGTTTATAATCAAGTAAATACAATAATAATTTAATGAAAACCCTAAGAAAGTTATCTCTCTCTCTCGGTCCACGTGTACCCCCTCCTCCGTTGCTTGCTGTTACAAATTTTAGATAATAGTTAATTGTTAGTCTTAGTTTCCCTGGATAGTTAAGTGTGGATAGTTAAATGTGGATAGTTAGTGGATAGAGATAGCTAAGGGCAGGATAATCCATCTGCTGACTGCCCAATGCTGAGCTGCCACCATCTTAGAGGTCGCGAGCAACAACACGCACTGCGCAGATGTGGCAATGCCTGCGCAGAACTTACACCTGGAGAGTGAGCAACTGTGCATGTATGAAACACCAATCATAGGGGTATAATAACAGGAACAGCTAACAGTAGAATAATGTTATTTCACTGTTGAATCAATGTTTAGGGCTTGAACTTTGCATTAAACTGGAGTCAGAATTTCACTTTAGCTTTAACTTGATGTTCAAATTATCTCAGGACTTTGTCTACTTTGTTATTGGTTCCCCTTCTGGTCTGAGACACACATATAGATAGTGTTATCCAGTGAGACACTCTACCCAATTTGGCAGGTTTTCTCCAGGTACTACAGTTTCCTCCTCTACTATACTAACACTGGATATTAAAGGTCATAACAAAGTAACAGTAACAGACCACAATTACCCGAATGTCTAATTTGATGATAACTTGTAAAATGATGAATTAAAACAATGTTAAGGCACTCTCTGTGTCTAGCTTATTAAAAACTCCAAAAATACTTAAACTGATGACAGTTATAACAGTATATAATATTTGATTATATTTGTAGTGATTTTATATTTGTTTTTTTGCTATACAGTACTTTACATTGCTATATTTTCTAAATAATTTTAATTTTATTTGGCACAAAACCTGGATATATTATTATGTTTTAGGTTATGTTATTGTCTTAGTATAGATGAGAGTAAAAGCAAAAAACAAAACAAAACATCCCCTAAAACTATATATATTATATTGATGCTTCAGGTATATGAGATGCAGCATAATAACAGTGATTTTATATGTGTATTGCAATATTTTTCCGATTTAGTAAGATTATATTTTGTTGTGTTTATAAGGATATACCACCATGATAGGGGTACAGGTATGTTATTGACTTGGAGTAGATTTGTGTAGTAAGTAATAAGTGTTGGTATAATCTTGGGTATGCTCACCTTAGTGCCAGACTTGACCAACACTGGAGCAGTTAATACATTCTGGAGCCTGTACTTGCCAACAGTGTGTAACAAAGACGTGGCCAACCGCCCAGTGGCAAAGAGGATAAAGTAAAGTACTGTACAGTATACTTAAGGCCCAGTATATTCTTTTGGCCAGTGAAATATAGTTTTTGGATTGGTCATTGGTATATCACTTTCTGTAGTGTTTTTGGGTGTACTGAAGCATGTTACACACACCTGACACTTCAGCATATTAGTATCAATAACTCCTTTCATGTCTGCACTCAAGCCACTTTGGTTGACTTGAACTAATTAATATATTCCTTGACCTACCTTCCTTTTCCTTGACCACTCCTGACCTACCTTCATCTTTCTTGACCTAGCCTGACCTTTCATCTTCCTTGACATAGCCTGACCTATTTTCATCTTCCTTGACCTAGCCTGACCTACTTTCATCTTCCTTGACCTAGTCTGATCCACTTTTTTTTATCTATTATTATTGATCTGAACTAAGTAAACTTTGGTCACAGTTGACTCAGCTTAACTTAGTTCTGTTCATTATTCATCTAGTTTCACAGATCTACTTTTTTCATCAGTTTTTCTTTTGATATTATTATCCAAAACTTATTTTATCAATGAGCAATTAATGTTGACCGCATCTGACCTTGTATGAACATTTAATCATTGACCTTGGTTCATCCTTTGGCCCTTGTGACATCACTTGACCCTCTGGCAGGTTCCTGGGAAGCGACAATCCTGACCAGTACTTCACCAACACCCAGAGGTCGAGGATTGTGCACGAGATCCTCTCCACGGCGACCTTTGGTAAGAGGAAGAAGGGCGAGATAGGCATCGAGAGGCTGGTGGAGGAAGGTGTTTATAATGCTTCCTTCCCTCTCCATGATGTGAGTGGTTGTGGTTATGGTTGTATTTGTACCGAGTTGTGGTCGTACTTTGCACTATCCTTTGTAAGCTACTTTTAGATTGAACTCCTCCCATTATCTTGCTAACTTACCTAACTTGATCTAACCAATCCTAACCTAAACTATTTTAACCTAACTTAACCTTACCTTAACTAACCTAACCTCCTAAGATATGGTAATGGCATGTATTTAAGACAAGTGAATGTTCTGCAGCTATACAAGTAGTTTAATAATAAGATTCTTAACACTTTAGTAATAATTGGCAACTAACTCTCCCCAGTCATTAAGTGCCATTATTGTGATGGCAAAGTTGTTAATTATTCAAATAGTTTGAGTCGCCACAGTCGATGGATCTGAATTTGTCATTAGTGCTACTGTAGAATGCTATAGTGTAAATATCTTTGTCGGCCACATGTTGTAGCTGCACTTTGTCATCTAATATTTGTACTTTGGTTGGTGATACATGAGTCACTTGGTCCAGCCTCAGCTCAGAAATAGGGGACACATCAGTCAATGCTTCACATCTCTCCCCCAGGGGCCGTACGAGTATCCTGTTGGATGTCGCGACCCAACACGGCTCAACCCCCGCCAGGTGCTGTACCACTACTGGGCTCGCTGGGGGAAGTGGTACAAGTATCAGCCTCTTGACCACATCAGGGAATACTTCGGCGAGAAGATTGGTATTTACTTTGCCTGGCTAGGTAAGTTGGTGCTGACTGTACTGGGAAGTTTTAAGGTGTATCCCCATGATGCCTTACAATTACAGAAGATAGTTTATATATAAAAGTTGTTGATCTTGATCTGCGTACAGTACTCAAACTTTCAAATCATTTACTTGACAATGTTCTCTTGAAGTTGGCAATTAATGTATTTAACTATGCTAGTACATCCCATTAACACTAAGACACCCAAGAGTGCCATAAAAAATCAGAGTGGCATGTACAGTAATTAGCATTGCAAAACTAATTAACATTTTCCAAGCTTCATTGGAACAAATAATTAACCAAATGTCGAGTGTTTAACTACAGATCTTTAATCAGCATGATCAGGAGTACCTACAGTGCTTTACTCACACACACACACACAAAAGAACATCAATAAAGACAGTGATGGCCGTCTGCTTCATCGTGCCCCTCACTCCTCAGGTCTGTACACTGGATGGTTACTGCCAGCAGCCATCGTGGGTCTGCTGGTGTTCCTCTACGGGGTGTTCACCATCAACTACAACACTCCGGCCAATGAGATCTGCAACAACCCTGGAACCTTCAATATGTGTCCACTGTGTAACGAGAATCTTGGCTGTGTGTTCTGGGATCTAAATGATATCTGTGTCAATGCCAGGATCTCCTACCTCTTCGACCATCCCGGCACTGTATTTTATGCCATATTCGTGTCGTTCTGGGGTGTGTATGATGGGCGAGCTTATCTTGTAGAGTTGTTATGGATCTGTATCTCATGGATTTCAAAGTAAACATGTACAGTAATTTGTAAAGCAATTTGAATTTCAATTATTACATATTACAATTGCTTTATATGTTAATTTGAATTCAGGCTCGACTATTATAGATTAAAACAATAGTAGAATGATCTGATAGGTAGCCACTCATGACTGTCCCATTATCACAGGGGTTATGATTTATCCCAGAGTCTGTCACACTCCTACCTGCCACATGGTGTCTGGTCTATTGTCTTAGACTCTATCATGGCTGACATATTAACAAAAGCTTCTTGATTGTGGATTTTCTTAGGGAATGTGACTTCAGGATCAGTCTTCCATCTTTTTGTTATGTTTTTATTTTATTTTCCATTCCAGTTAATACTGTACCTATTTATGTTTGTGTTATTAGAAAGTAAGTACAGTATTAGTACAGTGGGCCTCTCCTTATTTGTTGTCCACTTAGCCCATCTTCTGTTAGATCTGTCTTAGTTTTTGGACTGGTGTTCCTCTCCTTCCAGCTGTGTCCTTCCTGGAGTACTGGAAGAGGAAGAGTGCCTCCCTCGCCCACCACTGGGACTGTCTGGACTTCCAGGAGGAGGAAGAACGACCCCGGCCAGAGTTTGCTGCCAAGGCCCCGTGTCAAGAGAAGAACCCCATCACAGGCGTCCGTGAACCTTCCTTCCCAAAGTCTATCAGAACCAAAAGGATCATGGCGGGTGTTGGCCTCATCTTTATCATGGTAAATGTTCCTTCCCTGTGTTGACTGAGCTCTTCTACAGGTAACTCCTTAGCTTCAGAAGTTATAGCTCCGTAATCATCAAAACTTCCAAAACTAATACCAGTTAAACGACCTTGTGAAGGTTAGGAACCCCAGCTTATTTCATCTGATGATTAAAACTCCCGGATGCTAAAAGAAGGGGTTAGGTTTGGTTTGGTTTGGTAAGCCTAGGTTTTATTTGGTTTGGTAAGCTTAGGTTAAGTTAGGTTTGGTTAGTTTAGATTAAGTTCGGTCAGGTTAACTTTGGTCAGTATTAGGGTGCAGTAATCGACCACTGTGGGAAGCTATGCCTAGACTGCCTTTAAAGACAAGCAAAAAATATATCATTACAAAACCATTACAGTATTATATTTCTTGTTGTTCTGATGAAATATTGATCTGGTTTATTTATATTAGTTGTCTATTTCAATTCATTATTTTATGTAATACAGTAAAGTACAGGCTAAGGTATCCATAAATTATCTGTTTCATTATAAAAGTTAACCTTAAAAACATTACTGATGCAACTCACTGGTTTTAGTAGACTTCCACTTGCACCATGTTCTGTCAATAATATTTTTGAGGTTAAGTCTTATACTGTATCTGGTCAGATAATTTTGGAGACCCTGTTTATTATGTTATTATTAATGAACTTTTGGGAAGGGGTTCACAAACTTCATGTATATCATTCCTTAGTACTGTACTGTATCTCGTGTTACCATATATGAATTTTAATATGATTTGATATAAATTTTACCTGTAACACATGTGTGGCTGATGTACTGCACAGTATATAATTTTACCTTTGACAGCTGTGTGCCTGAAGTATGTAATTCTTCTGACAGATGAGTTTGGTGATCATCTTCATCGTCGCTGTCATCATCTACAGGGTGTTAGTGTCCATCCCTCTCTTCCGTAGTGACGCTCTCAGGTCACAGGTACTGTACCTTTATTTCTCATTTAATTATCATTTCACTAGTTATCAGCTTACGAGCTGTTCTGACATTTGGTCAATCCAGTGTTAGTGCAGGAGGAAACTGGGGTCTGGGAAACCTGTGATGTTTGGTAGTGAGGGTCACACTGGATAACACTCACCCCATGTGTCCCCGCCAAGCAGGATTCCAACCATTGACATATTGGTGAGAGATCCTGTAGACATGTTACCGCTGTTATGCTAAAATGATAAATCCTTTTCATTTTCTGTTCCAGTTTATTTGTGATCAAGGATTATTTTTGTATTTGCTGTCACTCATCAGTTGATATTATTTGTTTTTGGGCTTTTCTTTTACTTTTCAGCTGTATTGGTAATTACTGTATATTTATTATGAATGTACAAAGAAAAAAGTCGTGTTACACCCCACTTGTGTTATGTTCTCAAATCCACAATGAAGAAATTGGGTGAAATGACAACTAAGCTTCAAGCCTGAACTGGGAACTTCACCAAAAATTTTCATCATGGGTTTCAGAACATAAGGCACACTGAGTTTAATGCAAGTGTTTTCTTTGACTGTACTTTTGATTTACTTATAAGTTAGACAGCAGCTCATGTGCTTGTCTGTCTCTGTAACTCTTATACTAAGATGATTGATTCTTCTCATTAGCCCCCTGGCTGGATCTGGAAGGGGGTTCCTTACAACTAGTATTTGTCTGTTGTAGTTACAATCATCTCTGCCAGTTGTGAATATAACTTTATACAACCTGATGCTTATTGGGTTATGGATCCGTTCAACCGTCTGTAATAATGATCTCTGTACTTATGATAGTTATTTTGTTAACCTTTTATAAGAGACCACCACTGAGAGACATACTGTACCATTACCATAAGGTATAACATATATGACTTGGGTTTACTTACCGGTACAATGACTCTTGGTACTTTACATCTTTTATCATTAAGTAGTTCATAATAAGTCAACACTTTCTTGTGTTATTCAGCTAAGATAACTATTATCCTTTTTGTGTAATTAATACTTGAGGTACAGTACATCTTATACTGTTTATTAAATGTCTCCTAAGTTCAGTTACCAACTATTGTCCTCCTCAGGCTCAAGCAATATCTTCACTCTCAGGCGCTGTTGTCAACTTCATCATCATCATGTGTATGGGTAGAGTGTATGAAAAGCTGGCCTATAGACTTACTACCTGGGGTAAGACACAACAGCTTGCTGGTGCAAGTCCTTCATAGGTGTTTAATATGTTAGGTTAGATTAGGTTAGGTTTAAGTTAGAATATATTAGGGTAACGTTAGGTTTGCTCACATTAAGTTAGGATAGGTGTGTTTTGTATGGTTTTTCATTTATATCTTAAAGTGCTTTGTTTTTACAAGTGATTGAATCAGCTTATTTAATCTTGAAAATGTCCTCAGGCAGGATAAAAGCTTCTTAGTAGAGGATCAAGTTTTTCTCATCACATTAACTTGAAAAATATTCTCCAAGTACTTGTATACCCATGTGATCACCTGCAGATTAAGCACTCCAGCAATGTAACTTAGCATAAACTAACCTCCCAGGTAGAGTTACGATGTTTAATCATCAGGTGAGATAAGCTGGTGGCTATTCTCAGGTGTCCTTATCCATGGTTAACAACATTGATATAATGTTTTCTCCAGAGATGCACCGGACACAGTCAGAGTTTGAGGATAATCTCACCTTCAAGGTTTTCATCTTCCAATTTGTCAACTTCTATTCGTCCATCTTCTACATCGCTTTCTTCAAGGGTCGCTTTGTTGGCTACCCGGGCCACTACCACCAGATTCTTGGACTACGTAATGAGGACGTGAGTAAGGCATGTTAAGCCATGTCTTTTATGCAGGTTTTGACTTTAAAAAGATGTTTATTTGTTTCTTAACCACTTGTGTAAGAGATCATCCCCGAGCTGAATGAAGTCATCTAACGTTGGCCAAATAAGATATTAAAAGTATCGTCCCTGTATTGAATGGATTAAGGCTGCAGAAAAGAATAAAATGACTGCACTCATAATTTTTTGATGTGTTGATAATTTATATATGTACAGCCCTCATTAATATTGACATCTGTAGAACTAGATGAGGACACTCTTGGTTTATTTTTACCTGCCCAAATTTAATTTACACTGAGCTAAAATCTACACACATACAGCTATTGTGTCTGTCCCGAGTAATGCATCAAGGTAGAACAATGTTGACCTTCAGAACCAACACACCGGTACAGTACTTTTGTATCATGTCCAGAATATCAGGACTTTTAATGGAAAATGAAGATTAATGCCAAAGCTTTAGAAAAGCTCCTCCCTGACTTACGACGGGGTTAGGGACCCAAATCCAAGTCGTAAGTCGAAATGGTTGTAAGTTGAAAATGCTTAAATAATACATAGAAAATCTAAAATGGGTGTCTCTTTTTCTTCTCAGCACCACAAAACTCTCACTTTTAAGCTTGCCAGCCATTTTAAAGTGAATTACAAACAAAAATTTTGTCTGTGTACTGACGTTGGGACTCGAAAATACGTAATTTGACAAAATTTTGGTACAACTGAGGCAAGTCGTAAGTGCGGGTGGTCGTAAGTTGAGTAGGTTGTAAGTCGGGGAGGAGCTGTATCAGACAATTTTATCCAGCTCAGAGAGGGGCCAGTATACAAGGGGTTAAGACTGGAACCCAAGAGTATATAAGGTGTGTGTGTAGGAATGCAATGCCAGGAGTGAGTATTATATACTAATTACTGTACACTTTTACTAATCTTTCACATTCCATTTCTCAACTATTCTTTATTTCCTCATGGAATATTCATATGAAGATTAGGCACCCTAGTCCTACCTTATTTCACCTTAAGATGAACCACCCCAAAGCTAACCCACTCAAACATAACATAACTTAATCTAACCTAAACCCTCCAGGTGGTGTTTGGGTGTGTATTATTAAGGTAAAATATGCTGGGTGCCTTAGCTTCACATGATCCACATATTTCCTTTATTTTTTCTTGTTCTCTGCACTCAACCCATCACAACATACATCTTATACATAAAGGAATGGATGTTTAGGGTTAACCACTCGTGTACAGGATCCCCTCCGTGCTGAATAAAATCACTTGGTTTTAGTCAAATAAAATATTAAAGATGGTGTCCCCGTAGTGAAGGGGTTAGTGTATTACAGAAATTGTTCGAATTAATATCTCATGTCTTATCAAATGTTAACAATAGTGAAACTCCCTCTAACGAACCTCTATCTAATGGACTAACCACCTAATATATACTGTACAGTACATTACGCCTGGATAATTCGCAGATTTTTATTTCGCGGTCCTCTGTTCTTCACGGATGACACCCTGGATGTACCCAAGAATTTCTACGGGTAGTTTTAAAGTTGCCAGCATTTTCGCGGCTGGGACAGGGAGCCATTCGTTCTACAGTAGTGACAGTAATTTCCTTTACCTGTATTGTGTATATGTGTGTGTGTGTGTGTGTGTGTGTGTGTGTGTGTGTGTGTGTGTGTAGATACTGTGGGGTACGTTTGTTTGGGTTCACACTCAGGATGGGATGGAGAAAGGAAACTCACAATGTGCTTTCTGTATACATATTGTATTGGATGTACAATGCAGCTTGGTGCTGGGAAGGCAGCATGGTTACAGGCGTTGATTAGAGAGAGCTGGTTGGTGAGGGTGCTCAGAGGAGGACAAGCTTGTGGGTCGCCATGCTCGCCGGCGGGAGCGAGGGCCGCCAGGCAGAAGCGGAGGAGGTGGTGTTGCTTGCTGGTTGGTGTAGGTAGAAAGAGAGGTAGGTCACCACGAGGTCAGGTCTTATATAGCGGAGGTAGGCGTGGCTTAATAATTGACCTCCGTCATGTAAAGCGGCGCTGGTTGACCTAGACCACGAGGCATACACTGGGGAATTCACGGGGTCGGCTACTCAGTGACAAACAGCGTTTGTAGAGGAGGTATCCACTACAGTACTCCCCCCTTCCCTCCAGGCGGTGTAGGAGACGTGTTGTCTGCAGGGTTGCATGGCACATGTGAGGCAGAACGGGCGGTGCATGCCACATGTGAGCCATAACGGTGGGGGCGTGGATGAGCCGGCCGCTAGGGGAGACAACTGTCTAGATACACAATATCTGTGGGAGTAGAGAGGGAGAAAAAGGGTGTGTGGAGGCGATGAATGTTGTGCTTCCCTCACGGCAGGTACAGAGTCGTCAGATGCGCCTGCTGGGGTGTGTGGGCCTGGGTCAGGAGCAGGGGCTGCGTCAGCAGGAGCGGAGGAGAGTCCGTGACAGCAGCAGGGTGGATGACAGTGGCAGGGTCCACGACAGCAGCAGGGTGCAGGACAGTAGCAGGGAGTACCTGAGGGAGAAAAGAGGGGTGTGTGGGCCCGCACTCAGGCGCATGGGCCGCGTCTGGAGCAGGGGCTGCATCAGGAGGAGCAGCAGGGGGTACTGCTGGGCCGGGGGCGGCATCTGAGGCAGGACGGGTGTACTGGGGTCGGTAGGACGTGGTGCTTGGGGCAGGAAGAGGAGCGGCTGTCTGCTTAGAGTAGCAGAGCTGCTCTAGGGTGTCTAACCTGTGGTGTAGAGACAGTAGCTGTAGAGCCGATGAGAGCTGCCTCTGCGTGGGTAAGCCAGTCTTCCATGTTGCTTGAAGACTGTGAGAGTGATCGGTTTCTCCTCCATCCTGTGTGAGTGCGAATCTCCGGGGGTCACCATTTGTTGGGTACGGGATCTTTGGGTTCACACTCAGGAGGGGATGGAGAAAGGAAACTCACAATGTGCTCTCTGTATACATATTGTATTGGATGTACAATGCAGCTTGGTGCTGGGAAGGCAGCATGGTTACAAGCGTTGATTAGAGAGAGCTTGTTGGTGAGGGTGCTCAGAGGAGGACAGCTTGTGGGTCGCCATGCTCGCCGGCGGGAGCGAGGGTCGCCAGGCAGAAGCGGAAGAGGTGGTGTTGCTTGCTGGTTGGTGTAGGTAGAAAGAGAGGTAGGTCACCACGAGGTCAGGTCTTATATAGTGGAGGTAGGCGTGGCTTAATAGTTGACCTCCATCATGTAAGGCGGCGCTGGTTGACCTAGACCACGAGGCATACACTGGGGAATTCGCGGGGTCGGCTACTCAGTGACAAACAGCGTTTGTAGGGGAGGTATCCACTACAATACTACATACAAATAAATAATGATGGGAAAATCCTCTCACAAATAATCAGAAACAAATTTATATTAAAACTGTTGAGTCTACCCTCAAATCTACTCCGTACTTTATTAATAACAAAGCACGGAGTGGACTTGTGAGGAAGACTCAACATTATAAATTTACATTTGTTTCTGATTATTTGTTTGAGGATTTTCACATTATTATTTATTTGTATGTGTTTTGTGTGTGTCTCTACACACACACACACATATATATATATACAATACAGTACCCTGTACTGTACATATATATAATCAGAAAGAAATGTATTAAAAATGTTGAGTCTACCCTCAAGTCTACTCTGTGCTTTATTAATGACAATGCACTTGAGGGTAGACTCAACAATTTTAATATACATTTATTTCTGATTACTTGTGAGAATATTTTCCCATTATTATTTATTTGTATGTGTTTTGTGTGTGTGTGTGTGTGTGACACACACATGCACATATATACAATACAGTATAGTCTCGGTTTACGCGGATTTTTTCTACGCTGTTGGTCATTTACGCGGCACCTGTCCAGGCACGCCAATTGTTAGTAACGCTGTACATTCCTGAATTTACACGGGAAGCGGCGCAGACAAGCTGCGCGCTAGGTCGCTCTTACGTCTCCGCTGACGTCAGATGACGTTTCGGACTGTGATTGGGCCACATATCCTTACCACCCACGCATCCCCTCCGCCGTGAGCTGTGATTGGTCTATTTAACCTTGTTTGCCCAGTCAACAAAACATTACCGAGTTCTTCACCCGCCACCCATCACAGCCAGCCCAAGTCAGTGATAGTGAGGATATGGTCATTGAGGGGTTTGACAAGGAGGCCCTGCTAGCCTCTGTGGTCGATAGTGATACAGGTGAGGGCCAATAATCTGCCCTCTGCCTCGGAACCAACCCCCCATCCCCGTGTGCCCAGCCATCTCTTCTACGAACGTAAGTGTAAAAAAACCTAATATTATTGATATTTCTCGTAAATATTAATTGTGTATGCATACCATCATAAAATTAAGATGTTATTTTTACTACAACGTACATATTATTTCGGAAAAAGGGTAGTCTGGGGGTCAGCCCCTTCTCTATTTCAATTAATCCCATATGTTCTGTTATTTCATTTACGCATTTCGCGTTATACGCGGACCTCCATGGGTTTAATTGACCGCGTAAAACGAGACTATACTGTACAGGTAAAAAAATAATTGTCCTAAGGTCAAACACACAAAGGGAATATATACATATATTTGTACACAAGTAAAAATATACCCCACAAGCAAATTTTATTTGCGGACCTGGCGATTTGCGGCCATTTAAAGAACCTAACCCTCGCAAATTTGAAGGAAGGGCATGTTGTTTTACGTTAGAAGGAGGTTTCATATATAACGCACTTCATTCTGATGGAATAACCTCTCTCATATAGTTCATTAAGTAGAGATTTCATTGTATATATCTGCTGAATGACATGACAATTTTCCTCAGTGTTCGGCTGGTGGCTGCCTGATCGAGCTGGCACAACAGCTGGCAGTGATCATGATTGGTAAACAAGTGGTGAACAATGCCCAAGAGATCCTTGTCCCCAAAGCTAAGGCGTGGTGGCACAAGAAGCAGGTACAAGAGTGAGAGTTTGTTTATATCAGTAATTTACCAAAACTTTGCCTCACAACTTCCCTCTGTGTTGAGGATTAACATGATTTACATATTGTACTCTACAGTACTTTTAATTTACATCTGTTTTGTGATCAACTTTGGCCCAAATTACTCACTAAATACAGTATGTGTTTGTTAATTTTTTACCTGTGATGTGCAGATTACACACTTGTGACCTGACCTAACCTAACCTGACTAACTACTTTCATTATGTATTAGGTAAAAATGCGTCACAAAGCCAGAACCCGGTGGGAGGCGGACTACCAGCTGATTGACAACGAGGGACTCTTCCAAGAGTATCTTGAGATGGGTGAGATGACTCCACCCATTATTGTATCTTTAGAAAATTAAATACATTATAATTGCCCCTACATTGTGTACCTACATGCAAAATCAATTGTAAATTTGCATGACAATTTTCTTGAATAAATATCACTCTAAAAATACTACAGGGTTTCTTCCTATGTGTTCTTCATCATGTGCATTTCCCTACAGTGCTGCAGTTTGGCTTCATCACCATCTTCGTGGCAGCCTTTCCACTAGCACCACTCTTTGCACTTCTCAACAACTGGGTGGAGATCCGACTTGACGCACAGAAATTTGTTTGTGAGACCCGACGAGCCGTGTCTGAACGTGCACAAAATATTGGCATCTGGTTCACCATCTTGGACTTCATGGCTCATCTTGCCGTCATCAGTAACGTACGTAGAAATAATCTGTACAAGTACACTGCATATGTACAGGAGTCTTCCACATAGTGTTAAGGATCTAAGGTTAACAAGTTAGAATTTTGGTAGTAACTTGTCCTGATGATTCTTGAATAAATTTAAGTAGTATTGGAACACTAATTAGAAATCAGCCACAAAACATCAAGGGATTATTAGCCTTGCAATGTAGGCCATCAATTTAAAAAAATTAGGTTCTGCCCACAATCTGTATACAGTACTGTACAGGTAACTCGCGTTTTACACGCGTTTGATTTAAGCCTTTTTGGAATAACGCGATTGTTCAATTAATACCAAAAGCTAATTTGCGCGCACCTATTTTTTAAATAACGTGCTCAGAAAGTTTAAATTTGTCACGCGTATTGGCCTGGTCGCCTGGCAGTGGAGTCGTGTGTTATGCCTGGTGAGGTGCTTGTAAGTTATTACTATAAATTCAATCTTATCAACATCAACGATTTTAATATTATTAATAATAATAATTATTATAATAATGTAATAATAAAGATTATTACTACTAATGATGAAGATAATGATAATAATGAAGTATTCTGTACAACAACTGTGACCACGTCCAGCAAGCTTCCCGGGAATCACTTTCTCAGTTCACACCAACACTACTTTTTCCCTGTGCTCTCATTTGCAATATATGTTTATCACGTACCTTTTTAGTGTTAAACGCTGTCTACCCCATTGAGCATGTCTGGAAAACGTCCATCTGCCTCCTCTGGGGCGCCTAAAGCTAAAAAGGCACGAAAAACAATCGCAATGGACGTGAAATTAAATGTGATCACCGGCCTTCAGAGAGGAGAGCGTATGTCGGAGGTTGGCCGCGTACGGTATATGATGGTTCCCCTAACCTGTACCATTTACATGTATTCTTATGGGAAAATTATGTTTAATTTACGTGTTTTTTAATTAAGCGGTGGTTTTCAAGATGGGGTGCACCTGTCTAGGGATGGAGTAGCAACCCTGGCTGGGGCTCTAGAGGGGGCAGTTCAAAAGATATTGAAGTCTTTAAACTGCTAGGAGAACATATGAGCACGGGGGTGGAGGAGACTGCAGTGGGAGCGGGTAAACAAAGTGAAAGATTACAGGGAAATAGTGTTAGGAATGATGACAAAACTGAATTAGACTGGGAGTTTAAAACTAAACGCGGTAAGGGGAGGACTCAGAACACGACTAACTTAAATGTATACTACGCAAACAGTAGAAGTATGAGAAACAAAATGGATGATATTAGGGCCTTGGTATGTACCGAAAAAATCGATATAATTGCATTCACTGAAACATGGATCAACCTAGACACACGTGAGTTACCAGTCGAATACCAAATTGCGGGTTACAAACTGTTCCATACCGATAGGCAGACCAGGAAAGGAGGCGGAGTAGCAATCTATGTTAGGGATAATCTGAAGTGTGAAATAAATAAGGAAATAAAAACTGAGCGGAATACAGAAACAATTTGGATAGAATTAATCGACGGTAGAGAAAAATTAATCACAGGAGTAATATATAGACCTCTCAATCTTGATAGAGTCAAAGAGCGACTTATCTGGGATGAAATGCGCAGGGCTTCCATACACAACAAAGTCTGTATAGTAGGCGACTTTAACCTTGGCCAAATAGATTGGACTGACCTTACAGGTAACTCAGAATCAGAGGATTTTCTCGAGACTATCCAGGACTGTTTTCTAAGTCAACATATACTGAACCCACATGGGGTAATAATATACTCGATTTAGTTCTGTCAAACAGAGAAAACCTCATTAGCAGGGTCGAGGTAGGGAACGAATTTGCAAACAGCGATCACAAAGAAATCAGATTCCAGTTAGACTTTCAGGGCAGAAGTAAGGAAAATTCCACTAAAGTACCAGATTTCAGAAGGGCGAACTTTGACAGTTTAAAGAGGCAGCTGAGAGAGGGGGTGTCGCGCTTGGCCGTGAACCTGTCAGATGACACCGACCTGATAACGAGATCTGAGATTGCCGAGTTCCACGACAATTTAAATAGTGAGTTACTTAATGCACAAAGGCAGAACATACCATACAAAAAACTCAGATCAGACAACAATGACCCTAAATGGATTAATAACTATTTAAGGAACATCATTGGCCAAAGGAAGGCTATAGGTAGAAGGATAAATCGTGGCGAAATTCACCTCCGGGACTATTATAGGGTATTGGCGAGTAGGGTTAAAACCGAGATAAGGAAAGCAAAGAGGAATAATGAGGTAAGGATAGCAAGGGAGGCGAAGACAAACCCAAAGGATTCTACCAAATGTATCAAACTAAAACACGAGAAAAGATTGGACCAATACGGTCAGACACCGGCGAGCTCACTGATAACGACAGAGAAATGAGCACTAATTTGAATAAATATTTTTCAACAGTTTTCACCACCGAAAATTTAAACATGATACCCGAGGCACCGACTCTATTCAGAGATAGTGAAGAAAACAAATTAAGTGAGATAGTAGTGACTAGTAACGATGTTAGTAAGCAAATAGACAAACTAAAGCCTAATAAGTCACCTGGTCCCGATGAGATATTTGCCAGAGTATTAAAGGAATGTAAGGAAGAGCTTAGTATGCCCTTAGCAAAGTTGTTTAACATGTCCTTAAAAACAGGTGTAGTACCAGAATCCTGGAGGATAGCGAATGTAATACCGATTTTCAAGAAGGGGGATAGATCACTATCCTCTAACTACCGCCCAATCAGTCTAACATCAATAGTAGGCAAATTACTGGAAGCAATCATCTCAAACTCTATTCGAAATCACCTGGAGAAGCACAGATTGATCAATGATTCCCAGCATGGCTTCACAAGCGGACGCTCTTGCCTAACTAATCTATTAACATTCTTTTCATCAGTTTTCGAATCGGTGGACGAGGGGCACAATTATGATGTGGTATATCTCGACTTTAGCAAAGCCTTCGACAGAGTCCCCCACGAAAGACTAATTAGAAAGGTAGAAGCACATGGCATCAAAGGTGACATCCTTAAATGGATTAGGGCGTGGTTACAGGACAGGAAACAGCGAGTGAGCATTAACGGCACTAAGTCCCATTGGAGCAACGTCACAAGTGGTGTTCCCCAAGGCTCAGTACTTGGACCATTATTATTTATTATATACATAAACGACATAGATATCGGCATAGACAGCAACATAAGTAAATTTGCTGATGACACTAAAATAGGACGTGTTATTAAATCTGACGAGGACTCGGCAAAACTACAGGAAGATCTAAGCAAATTTTTCGAATGGTCTGAAAAATGGCAGATGAAATTCAACGTCGACAAATGTAAATTATTCAGTATAGGAGATGTAAACAGGGAAACCAGATACCAGATGAACAACGATGCCATAGAGACATCCGACTGCGAGAGAGATTTAACGAATAATGATAAGTAGGAACCTTAAACCAAGTAAACAATGTGTTTTTGCTCGTAACAAGGCTAATAAAGTACTTGGGTTCATACAAAGGAGTGTTAGTTACAAGACTAGCGAGGTCATCCTAAAACTGTATCTTGCTCTTGTGAGACCACACCTGGACTATGCAGTTCAATTCTGGTCACCGTATTACAGAATGGATATAGAATCCTTGGAAAGAATTCAGAGGAGAATGACAAGACTAATCCCGGGCATTAGGAACCTTGAATATAGAGACAGGCTAAAGCATCTTAATTTGCACTCCCTCGAGAGACGTAGAGCTAGGGGCGACCTGATAGAGGTGTATAAGTGGAAGGCAGGGCTAAACAAAGGGGACATTACAAAGGTACTCAAACTATCCAACCAGGAGCAAACTCGTAACAATGGTTTTAAATTAGATAAATTTAGATTTAGGCGTGAAATCGGTAAACACTGGTTTGGAAACAGAGTAGTGGATGAATGGAACAAGTTACCAAATATCATTATTAACTCGAATACGCTGAATAGCTTTAAACATAGGTTGGATGCTTATATGAGCAATAGGGGTTGGGTGTAAACGGGACTGCCCAGTATGGGCCAATAGGCCCGCTGCAGTTTCCTCCATTCTTATGTTCTTAACCCCCGCTTAAAACGAATGGTGGGTGGATACAAGCAGTCCTCAACATGTTGATTAAGTAACACTAATTACTAAAAAATAATTTAATTTGGAATCTAAATCCTTAATCAGCATGTAAAATTGTACCTTTGTATGAAATTTGAACAAAGTTCATTGTTTGACCCCAAGTGCCGAAGCACAAAATATTAGGACTTTTTTTTTTTTTTTTTTACCTCAAACGACTTTTTTTTTTTTTTTTGCAAGTTGAAAACTAATGTGTTTAGATGGTAAAGATAGTCTATATTCATGAGAAAATGTATATAATGGTGTTTTAAAACTTACAGAGACAGCATAATTAATGTTTGAAATAATTTAAGATTTTCTAAGAGTGTTTGCTGTACAATATTTAAACTGAATTGACATCAATTTAAATTTATCAATATGAATTTCATTTATAGTTTTGATATTCTTGTCAGTGTGAGTTTAGGTACGTTAAGTTATCACACTCTGAAACTCCTTGGGTACTTTTTGTGAAACATATATGTATTTAGTACCAAGGAATTCTAATTTAATATTCTTGCAGGCTTTCCTCATCGCCTTCACATCAGAGTTTCTGCCGCAGCTGTTGTACAAGTATGAATATGACTGGTCTCTCACTGGCTACGTCAACTTCACTCTGGCTACTGCACCCAACAACACCCTCACTAAGGAGTGCAGGTGAGATACACTGACCATACAGGTGAGACACTGATTATACAGGTGAGACACTGACCATACAGGTAAAACTCTTTAAGTAGGAAATAAAGGCAACAACTGGAGGACTGCAGGTGACATGAAAAAAGGTTTTCAGTGGAGTATAGTGCTATACTAAGATACATCCTTGGATCCACACTGTTTGTTATCTACTTTAATAGCATAAATGAAAAAGATCACGCCAGGTGACGACACAGAGGTGGCAGGTCAAGAGTGTAACCATATCTGCACAAGCTGTTCAAATGGTCACAAGACTGGCAAATGTTTTCTAATTTTACAAAATGTAAGACTGTACAGTGTGTAGAATACAGCAACCTTAATCACATCTTATCTTATAATAACACTTCTGGGTACTGTTGCAGAATGGAAGCTTAAAGTACAGTAATGTGTAGTAGTGACTGGCATTATCAGCTTCAGGGGCAAGTACAAAATATTTCCTTTCACTTGCCTCCAAAGCTCATCTTTATGGCTATACTTCTTTATGCTGTAACCTCATGCATACCACAGTGACCTAATGCCTTGTTGTGACCTCCAGGTACCGCGGCTACCGAGACTCCCACGGCAACCACACATTATTCTTCTGGCGGCTGCTAGCCATCAGGCTGGGCTTTGTCATTGCCTTTGAGGTGAGTCTGGAAGATAATTTGTGATGAGTTTAAGAAAGAAAAACAAAAACTTTAAAAGATGCTATTTATGAGCACGACAGAGACACAGTGTACTTTTAGTGGCTCTTGGTGTACAATACTGTACTCTGAATCGTGTACAATTTTGTAATTAAATATTATTTGTTAGCTGCATCTACATACTAACTGTGTTGTCAATACCTACAGCAAATATTGTACAGACAATGTCTTGTGTATTGTAGTCGAAGCTGATATTTACATGTCAAAATAAGCAAAGTATCTGGGATAAACTTTGGCCCTTTAAGAGAAAGCTCTTCCCTTGCTGTAAAGAGCACATTGATCTTTAACTTATAAATGTGACAAACACAACATTGCACTTACAATGTTCATACCTCAATAATACAAAATTAATAACTTGTTTACAATTGTAACTTTTCTAATCCTATAATTGGTCAGTCCATCCCTCAACTAACTGTGGATCACCTCCCAGCATGTGGTGTTTGGGGTTTGTCGCCTGATTGACATCTTGGTGCCAGATGTTCCTCAGAGTCTTGAGATAAAGATGAAGAGAGAGCGGTACCTGGCCAAGCAGGCCCTGGCTGACTCTGACACTATCATGAAGGTGAGTGAATGTGTTATCAAGTTCACAAGAAATATTAAAGGACATATTTAGACATGAAGAAAGGTTAGTCAGCTGACTAAAGAGGTGTCCAAGGAGTGTGACAAAATATAATATTCCCAGCTGAGGCACTTAATATTTTACGCAACTTCAATGCGGCATATAAAAAAAAATTATTTTGTTATTTAAACCAGTCATTTTAAAGTCTTAATTTTAAGTACTTAAAAATATCAGGCATTTTATATTTAAGATTAAATTTTTGCATTGGTTTTAGTGCCAATGTGTTTTAACATAAAACTTTCATTTCTTCGACAGTTCTGTGCCAATATTCATTAAGTTGCTTCTTGCAGGTTGCCCAGGGGAAAGATGATGATGAGGATGATATTGCTGCCACAAATGATATCAACATTGCCATGAACGATGGTGAGTCTACATCTGTAGCGATCCCTCCTACTGCCCCCATCCCCACCACCCAGCCCACACCTCCTGTCAAAGGATCTCCGACATTCTCTTCGTACGACTTTGAAAACGCGAGGGTGTCTCCAACAACGACCCCATACACCAAGATGTCTCCCTCCAGCCGACCGTCATCATATGCCAACAGCTCCAACACCGACACTCCATCCTCATCATCTTCCCACTCCAAGAATCAGTATTCGTCTTTCAGCAACAAAAGTCCTCCGTGTGGCCCCTCCAACGGCAACAACGGAGGCACGTCAGAAGCCCCCTCTTCTAAGAGTCGCCACAGCTCCCACTTCACCCACAAGTTACCCCCGCGTCCTCCGATATAACAGTCCACCGCCCTCACCCGTCCCATCGTCGTGTACAAGCAAACATCGGTGTAACGAGCTTCTGCACGACGCACTTGAGTTGTTCTTTGGTTGAGGCGCTCTGGTGTTGTCTTAGAATGTAAGAATTGGATGAAGACAAGCCAAGATATATACTGAGGATTAGATTTATGGATAATGGTAGTACAGTATAAGTGTAGTGCACTGACATATCAGTTATAAAGGAGAGCAGAATAATCTCCCTCACCCGAGGTCTGGAGAAGGCCAAGAAATGTTCCTCTCCGATAATGATAAGAATATTAAGTTGGGTCGTCTCCCACGTGCACAATACACCTGGGGTAATATAACACTTAGGTTGTTCATCCTCCAACACAAAGATGCTCGAGTGCCTTGTTGTTTCTTCTCTATGTTTATGGTTTATAGTGACTGACGGGTGGCGGCTGTGTCTTGACTCCTGTCACTATTGTTGACAAAAAGTACAGTTGTCTGATCGAGGAAATATACAAGAATTATGAAAATTTTAATAAAGTTCCATGTCAACTATTTGAAGAATCTCTATATGTAGGAATCTATGCTAATTATATAAATAATTTCACCATAAAGTTCTTTACTGATCTACATTAAATGTAAGTGAATGTTGAACAGTTTACATAATCTTTCTGTACCGGGTGAACATTGAACAGTTAAATTATACAATAAAACACCTGAACTCTTGAATTAGATAGTCAGGTTTGTCATATATCGTTGGTACAAGATGAACAGCTGCCTCCACCTGGTACCGCACCGCTACCAGTATTGTTGGTAGGTGAGCAACAACAGCCACATTTTGGCTGAGGAAACGTAGAAATAATGCAGGTTATTGTGGACTACAAAGGCTCCTTTATGGTGACACACTTGAGGTGGTCCATACACTTTATCTACCTTGGACTAAACCTGAGCAATATTTTACCTTTATCATCTGTTATAAATCACCAGAAATAAAGTTTACAAGGGGTATTACTAATTGATCTTTTCTTTTTAATTAGGTGTTACACAAAGAAACTTTAACAATATCCAATAATATTAATAAACAAAATGTGAAGTGTGAGAGTTGTCTTATTATTGAATGATGCTTTAGTCGTCATCTGATGTATTGTACGAGTCCAGGACCTGTGGTTACACTCACCGCCTCACGTGTGTCACACTCGGCCTCGGTTCACACAACAAATTCGTGATAAAACTGATATAATTTCAATATTTCTCATTCCTAGTGCTCTTGTTTAGTTCTACTGAGCTCTACAATAACCGCCATGTTACATATAAGTCAAATCATCATTCTAATTCCTCCATTTTATCATTACATGTATATCACTAATGCATTGTTTATATCAGTATTCTGATCATCATATAATAATATACAACACACAATAGTGGTCATATAAGACATTTACTGTAAATGTGAAACATTTTAATTTGTTGCTAATATTCTGCAATCGGGATCTAAAAGAGAAACAGACTTTCCTTTTGACACGGCTAATAAAAACTAAACTGTAAGCATGGTACAGTATAGTACACCCATTTCCTCATCACATGTTAAGGTATTAGATGCAATATGGACACAAAGACAGCATCAATTCTGTAAACAATACATTATTTAATTTATCACACAGTTTCCCCATTTGACCTCACACAGCTGATGGTGAGCTGACCTTGTTGCTCTACTCACTAACCCTAAACATCACCTTATGGGTCGAAATTGTCATTCTATACATATTCTTTACCTTTGATTTGCTCAGACACACACACACACACACACACACACACACACACACACACACACACACACACACACACACACACAAAAGCTGTATAATCACTGACAATGAAATACATGAAAGTTCACTTGCTTCTCTGTACCCTTGGTACCTCTGTCTCTCACCCCTTCAATGTGTCTGGCAGCTGACGGCCTTGCACCCCCAGTACAGTATTTGTCAACAGTGAGTAACAGAGAAATGACCAACTGCCCAACCAGCTCATGAACTGACCAAAAGGAAAGAGTATAAGTGTATACCAAGGTTTTCTCTCTCTCTCTCTGTAGGTGATAATTACTTGTTAGTTTCTTGTGTTTCATTTGCACATACATAAATAAGTCCATTAGCAGCAGCATAAAGAATTTTGGATGGTAAAATGACAATACAAATTTATATATTTTTCAGATTAATACTTCACCTTGACTGACTATGATCACCTGTAATACACACACTAATATTTTGCTACTATATTATACTTTAATTTAATATAACATTTTTTAACATTTAACACTCACTGCTGTGTTAGGTCATGGAGATATTTGATGATCAGATTGTTATAAAATTTGTGATCTCTACAACACTTTTCTCTCATTAATGTGATGTAGTGTTGCATGTTAACTGCACATTCATACTTTTGGCAGTGATGTGAGACCCACTGTACTGTAGTGTTCAGCATGACTCTTGTCTCATAAACTTTGCCTTTCACTATTATAATATATTTTTCTTTAAGCCCAAAATCAAAGAGCATATAATACCTTCATCACTTAAGAATAGTTTTAATCTGTTCCTGTTTTTGATGATGTACAGTACTGTAGTAAAATTACAGTGGGGATAATCGTCAACTTTTAATACTGTATTATAAACAGGGATCACCAGAGGAATAATTGAACAGTGAGGTGTACAGTAGTGCCACAACAACATAATGTAAATTACAGTGGCAGCCCCCAGTTTTGCTAATGTAAACTAAAGGGAGAGAGACATTTAAGAATCCAACATCAAAAACTTCGCTGAAAATACCCAAAACACTAATACATATCATAAATAACAGATATATTGGCTATACAGGGTGTTCCGTAAATACCTTTCATAATTCAGGGGGTGTATTCCTGAGACATAAATAAAGATAAATGACTAAATGACCTAACTGTCAATTCTCAATACAGTAGTTTCGAAGTTACAGGTCTGGTAGGAATGTGATGAAACCTACAGTTACCTGACATAAATCCCCTTGATTTCTACCTGTGGGGTCACATAAAAAGCAAGGTGTATGTTATAGAGGTTCACAAACTGCGAGGAATTGTGGCACCATGTACAGGACAGTGTGACAAACATTCCCAACACCCCTGGGGGTCTTTAAACGTGTGTGACACTCACTAGTGCGACGGGCTGAGCCTTGCATTAAACAAGAAGGGCGGAACTTGAACATTTCCTTTAAATGTTAATACTGTACTAATACAAATCATATGGCATTATTACTTTTCATAAATGTCACTAGCACAGTGTATTGGATGTTTCACATACACCCCATATAAGTTTCATCACATTTCTACCAGACCTGTCATGTGATGTAACTCCGAAACTATTGAGGATTGACAGTTTGGTCATTTAGTCATTTATCTTTATTTATGTCTCAAGAATACACCCCCTGAATTTTGAAAGGTATTTATGGAACACCCTGTATAGTACTGTGGGCCTGCCAGTAAGTCACGCTGATCACTTACAGGGTGACTTACAGAGGAACACTTGAAGCTTACTTAACACTGGTGTATTGTACTTTAATCATTCTTACTCACCAAGATATCAGCCAAATGTAATGAAACTTGGATTTCGGGAATTTTAACTTGAGTGGCAGACAAGAATTATACCGTGATCCTAAAAACTGCAGCTCGGCAAAATGGAAATCAAGCATGGCAGCTGAACATAATTACTGTACCAAACATCTTGTGGTGATCCCTACTGAACCTATCAACTGACTATAATGTTGTACAGGGCCATTTTTTTTTCATCTGAGAACCCCAAATAATTACTATATTTTAGGACATGCAATAAACAGGAACCTAAAAATCAGTAAGAATAAAGTCTGATCTTTTTGAAGAACATTTGTTAACCAGAATCAGGTGACCAGACTTTATCTTTAGTGTCCTCTTGAATATACCTCCTAAAATATAGTAATAATTTAGGGTTCTTGAATATAAAATGACCTTATATATTATACTGTATATACATTGGGAACACATTTCTATCTCATAGTTTTTATTTGTTGATGAACTAGTGTTATTACCGTTCTGTGTTATGCGGTTAAAGACCTTAGTTGTTGAAGCGCAGTAATAACATAAATATCAACACACTCGGAACATATTTAAGACATTCCTAATCTCGCGTTATTGATCTTCAACTTAGAAAGAATGTCTTAAGGCAATAATTATTTGGCAAAATCTGTGATTTATATTACTATTGTGGCTCATATTCCTCTTCTTGTGATGGAAATGTGAAATTAGCAATAAGAAAAAGTTGATGTAGCCATGGGTGGTTGCCTTATGTAGCTACAGGTAGATGAAGCATACTGTACACTTTACGCATTCTACAGTATTGTACTGTATACTAATTATTCGGGGTGTCCATATATCCTCTGGCCCACATTAATACTTAATGACTTAACGAAGGTATGATCACACTCTTCTATCTATAATACTTCGGAGGTTATTAGTTGTCAAAGGGATCATATTTATGGACACCCAGTACTGTACCTCTAATATGGGGTTCACTGATTACACTAATCAGGTGTTCCTACCGTGATTAATCCTTTCCTTACTATGCCTTAGTATCTTATGAGACTACAGTGGTTACTTCATGATACCGTATGTGTAACATCAGCAGTTACCCCTCTCATCTTTTTTAAATATTTCGTTGTAGAATACAGTAATTGTAAAATACTTTATTACATACGGAGGAATCTTACAGTGAAGCTACGTTGTCAAATAAATATTTTTTTTACCCGTGGTTAAATTACTGCATGTCTGCATGATGTTATAGTGAAGGGATAGTGTTAATGTGCATGTGAAGGACACTTGATGAGGTTCACCTTGTTAATGTTAACTGTTTGAGCAGGATAACTGTTGTGTTAACTTGTGAACAGGACAGTTGTTGTGTTAGCTTGTGAGCAAGACAATTGTTGTGTTAACTTGTGAGCAGGACAGTTATTGTGTTAACTGTGTGGGCAGGACAATTGTTGTGTTAACTTGTGAGCAAGACAATTGTTGTGTTAACTTGTGAGCAGGACAGTTATTGAGTTAACTGTGAGGGCAGGACAATTGTTGTGTTAACTTGTGAGCAGGACAATTGTTGTGTTAACTTGTGAGCAGGACAGTTATTGTGTTAACTGTGTGGGCAGGACAATTGTTGTGTTAACTTGTGAGCAAGACAATTGTTGTGTTAACTTGTGAGCAGGACACTGTTGTGTTAACTACATGACCAAGGCAGTATTGAGTTAATTGCTGTACACTATCAGGTCAGTAGGGACAGTGTTAACAATATGAGTAGGTCAGCAGGGAGATCCTTTAATATAAATCAGCCTTTTACAGTGATATAAACTTTGTCTAAGACTTGAAACTTGGTAATACATGTACCTCCTTGGGAGAGAGCTGGAGAGCCAGCTGGTGGTTCAGAAGATAAAGTAAAGTATAATTACTTATGTAAAGTGGCTAATCCTGTGGCCATGACCCACAATATAAGCAAGGTGTCCCTTCTGTGAGCTGGGGGAGGGGTTGAGGGCCATCCTTTAAGTGGATCTAACTGTGTGTTTTGGGCTAGTCAGGGTTAGTACTAACGCAGAATCTACTGAACAAAAACTTAATTTTTCACTGAATCTAGTGGGCTTAAATGAACCTGATGGACATGAGCTAAACATTAATTTGGGGGCTGTGGTGAACAAGGCACTTTAATAGGCAGTGTACACTAAGCATAGGACCTAACTAACCCCCTATTAACATTCTTGGTTGCCTCTTTTTATTCCTATTATTATTTTTTTTTTTTTTGAGATATATCAACAATCTTCCTGGTATCTACAGAGAAGGCTCAGGATTAGTCTGGGGTTGTGGAAACATAAGTTTGCTTTTACAGTACAGTCGCCTTGTGTGCTTAGGTTTAAAACTCAATGAATACAAAAATGGGATTCAAATGTTTTCCTATTGTCCAAATCATTCTTATAACACTAAATATATTCCTTGATTGTATGTAATAAGTCTGGCATTGTAACTAAAATTCATGTGACACTGTTTTCAGTTTAAAAATTTAGAACTTGACCAATGGCATTGTACTATACTGTACTGTATATATAAGGTGACCAAATGAATAATAGCAATACTGTACCATCAACTAACATCAATCATGGGTTCCAAAGTTCATTAACTATTTATAATACAGCATTGAATGATAAAAAAGGGGATCACTTGAAGTTTAGGAACCCCAGTTTATTGCATCTGATGATTAAACACGAGAATAATTGACTAATCTAACCTAGCACCCCTATTTAGTATTAGTGTGTTTAAGTATCAGGTAATATAAGGTGAGGTTCCTAATTTTCATGAGGTCCTTAAAAACTATTCACAATACAGTATGTCATAAATACATATTTTTTCTCTCTCTCTCTTGTATATTCATGTAAAATTTGTGCATTTCAGGTTGTGAAGATTAAACATATATTATTTGAGTTTTTCTGTTTTCATTTCTCATGTATAGAGTGAAATTACTCTACTGTATATACTTTCTATGGTGACTTGGAAGTTGGGAAGGCTTGCACAGAAAGAGATGTGTTGCTTAATCAATACTTTATATAAATAAATATAAGTGAGTTGGTGTTATTTTGAGCTTTTTATATTATTGAGAGCCTTGGTGATGGCATCGATTGAGAGTCCATTTAACCCCTTCACTACAGGGACGCCACTTCTAATCTTTATTTGGATTACATCAGATAATTTTATTCAGCTCTTAGGCAGCCTTGTACACAAGGTGGGAGAGAGAATGGGGTGAGATTGGTGAGGGGAGAGAGGATGGGGGAGGGGAGGGAGGATGGAGTGAAATGGGGGAAGGGGAGAGGATGGGGTGAGATGGGGAGGGGAGAAAGGATGGGTGAAATGGGGGAGGGAGAGAGGATGGGTGAGATGGGGTGATGGGGAGGGAGAAAGGATGGGGTGAAATGGGGGAGGGGAGAGGATGGAGTGAAATTGGGGGAGGGGAGAGAGGATATGGTGAGGGGGAGGGGAAAGAAGAGGTAAATTA